CCTCAGCAAAAAGAGGAGGATTAGCATGGATGTTAGCTCAGGGCTGATCCTCCTCACAAAAAAAACAAAAACAAAACCGAAAAACAAAAAAGAACTATTCGGAGTTTCCCAAAAGCGGCGGCAGTTTTATGCTCTCCCTTCCCTGCCTTCCTGACCTGGCCAACTCTACACCACCTTCAAGACTCAGCCCCACTTTCAGCTCCTCAGGGAGCCTACCTAACTCCACTCCACCCTCTCCTAAGCTCTTCCTCCATCTGAGTTCCTCCTTGGCGTTCACATCATGCCCTATATCAGTTATCTATTGTTGTGTAACAATTACCCCAAAGCTTAACATCTTAAAACAATGAACATTTATTATCTCACACAGTTTATGAAGGTCAGGTATCCAGGAACAGCTTAGCTGCAAGATTCTGGCTCCGAGTCTCTCATGAGGTTGCAGCTAGAATGTTACCCAGTCTGGCAGCTGCCTGAAGGCTTGACTGGCTGGAAGATCCACTTCCAGGCTCAGTCACGTGGTGGCTGGAGACCTTAGTCACTCACCTCTCTATAGGGCCTGCTTGCAATGTGGCAGCTAGCTTTTCCCAGATTGCATGATCAGGGAGAGAGAGAGAACCCCCAAGCCTGAAGCCGCAGAGTCTTTTATAACCCAATGTCAGAAGTGACAAACCATCACTCTGCCATATTCTCTTGGTCACACAGACCAACGCTTACACAACGTGAGAAGAGACTACACAGGGTGTGAATACCAGAAGGTGGGGATCAAGGGGGACCCCACCAATCATCTGTCCTGGAATTTATCACGCTGAGTGGGGTTGTTGTCTGTCTCCCCCACTGTCTTGGGTCAGAATCTTGTTCTTTGTATCCCTGCTCCCAGCACAGGGCTTGGTACAGTAGTAATTAGTCATTGATTGTTGAATGAATAGATAAGTGAGTGAATTATTTCCCTAATCTCATCAGGATTTTTGTTTATTTGAATTTAAATTCATTTTCCATTATAAAAATAATACATGCATATTATTTAAAAAAAAAAACCTAGTAAACTACTCAAGTGTAAAAAATGAAAATTAAGTTTCCATTTTCATCACCTTGTATCCAATCTTAGTCCCTAGAGGTGACAACTATTAACATTTCTGGGGTATCCTTCCAGAAATTTTCTAAAATATCTACTAGAATTATTTTTAGGTATTGTATGAAGTAATGTAAGTAAAAGTGCTTTGCCCATGTCAAAGCCCACTGCCGCTGGGATTCCTGGAGACTCAGACTGCTGGGTCTGACCTGAGGACTCCACCAGTGGCCTCTGCTACCATCAGGTAGGACTGGAATTCCTCCACTGCAGCCGCACTGGGCACCATATTGCTACATGGTTAGAATAGTTTGCATTTTTTTTTACTATCATAAGCAATGATCCTCTAAGTGTCTCAATACATAAAAACTTTTGCACATTCTAGATTATTTACTTAGCACAGATCCCCAGAAGTGGAATTATCGGGTCAAAGAATTTGAACATTTTTATGAGGGTCACCAGCTGCTTCGAGTTTTCCACCTACATAGTAAATCCCTTTGCCATCAGTCAGGATTCTTAGTTGCTCATAACACATTCCACTTAAGTGAGTTTGAACAGAAGGGATTTCATGGAGAATAATAAATATTAAGTAACTCAAGAATATTTGGGACCTGGCTGGGATGCTATACCTCCAGGGACAATGCAGCCAGATGATGATACCCAACAGTACCACCAGACATTTGTAGTGCAAACGTCACTGCTGACGCCCTTTGCCCCTTGTCCCTGATAACTCGGGACTGGGTGTCAGAAGACCCTGTTCTTCCACTACCGTCCATGCCAAAAATTCCCGTTTCCCCATGTTTGGTTGCTGCCACACGTGCATCAGTGCCCCACGCGTGGGACTGGCAGCGACTTGGTCACCTACCTGTTCCCTTCGTGCCAGGGATTCTGGGGAAGGCAGCATTTTGTCCAGGAAAGCACAGTTTCTTTGTATTGGTTTGTTCTGCTCAACATCTGTTTGTTACACTTTTCTCCCTAACATTTCCAGTCTCCTTTCTCCTTTCCCTATGGTTTTAGTTTGCTAGGGCTGCCGTAACAAAACACCACCAACAGCATGGCTTAAACAACAGAGATTTATTTTCTCACAGTGCTGGAGGCTGGAGTCCAAGATCAAGGTGTCAGCAGCGTTAGTTTCTTCTGAAACCTCTCTCCTCCCTGTGCAGATCGCTACTTTCTTGCCGTCTGTTCCCATGGTCTTTCCTCTCTGCATATGCATCCCTGATGTCTCTCTGTATATCCAAATTTCCTCTTCTTGTAAGGACCTCAGTCAGATTGGATTAGGGCCCACCTAATGACCTCATTTAGCCTAATTGCCTCTTTAAAGGCCCTATCCCCAAATACAGTCACATTCTGAAGTAGTGGGGGGTTAGGGCTTCATCGTATAAATTTTTTGGAGGGGGGACATAATTCAGCCCAACACCTATGTTTTAAGGTTTAAGATTATTTTGTCCTCTCACCTTTTCCCCCTCACACCAGCCCCTAAACCATCAGCTTAGATTGCACTCTCCTGTCCCCACACAAGCCACACCCTGTGTGACAGCAATTTACTGCTAATGCTGCTCCAGGGACTCCTCAGTACGGGGTGATCGGGAAAGGGGACCTGAGTCTGGGCCACGGGGAGAGCAGTAGAGAACCCCAATTACTGAGGAGTCAGAGCCAAATCTTTTTTGTTTCCTTAAACATGACTGCCCTTGTCAAGGAAAGCTGTCAGCTGTCACGTTACATGTGGATTCTAAGAACAGGATAGAGGGAAGAGACCAAAAATGTAAAAATCAGCCTGAAGACTACATAAGTCTTCCCGTGTGAACAGCTTGATCACCATGTAGCATAACACTTAGACATATTAAGAAACTCTTGTCAGACTAGCTTTGTTACACGTTTTATTTAGTTGTCACAGTAAATTCCATTTGGGCACGGGCCAGGGCTCACATAGTGACTCCTACAGCTTCTGGTTCCCTGGCAGCACTCAGTGCACGCTGAGCGTGGAGTAGAATCACAGCCCCTCAGAGGTGAGAACTGAAGGGCCTTTGAAATGAATAAGTGCTAGGTAAAGAAATGAGAGAATCGGGGAAATGGTCTCTGATTCAGTTAAACCGCATCCTTCTTGGTTAGAACCTAACCCTAATTGGGCTCTGCTCTAGGAAATACGCCAAGAAAGTTGCTGTATGCTAAACTCATTCCTTTCTGATTCCTCAGCAGACGTTCCCCCATCTGTTGGTCTGTTCTAGATGCAGGCTCTCTGCCTTCATCTGACTATCCTGTCCATTGGCGCTGAGAGCCACCTGAGAGTGCCCAAAACTCCCCTGCCTTTTAGGCCTGCCACACCTGGCCTGGGCGTTAGGGTCCTTACACTGGTAGACCGTTTGAGGCATCGACTTTACAAATTGCCCACATCCTTTGACTAGTAATATTCTTTCTAGGAATATATCCTAAGGAAAAACATCAGAGAGGCAGATCAAAATTTATGTGCACGGATATTCAGTGCAGAATTGTTTATCATAGTGAAAATGAAACAACCTCAGTTACAAACAACAGGAGATTGACAGGCAAATGATGTATCCATCTAGGGATCATTAAAAAATATGTCTTAAAAAAGTTGAATGGTGTGAGAAGATGCTCAGAAAATCACAGAACAAAAACTAGAAGATAAAACTATATGTCATATGGTCCTGACTTTTTTACAAACTAGAAAGTAAAAACTGGAAGGAAATGCAAAATGTTAACAATAGTTGTCTCCTAGTAGTAGGGTTTTCTCTTCTGTATAGTTTTCAGTTTCTTTCAAAGTTTATAACCAGAAAAAAGGCCAAATGGAAACTAGAAGGTCAATGCCAATGGTCTTTGTTCCATCAAAAGAGATGACAAAGAGATCCAGACAAAGATAATGCTTTCTTCATGAAAATGAAAGTAAAACATGTGATTCTGAACTGGATCCTTTGCTACTAAGGACATTATTGGGGCAATTGATGAAATTTGAATGTGGTTATGGAATAGATGAAAATAATACATTAATATAAATTTTCTGATGTTGATGGTTATATTGTGGTTATGCTGGAAGGAGATACACAATAAAATATTCAGAAGTGATGGAGCATCATGTTAAAAGTTTACTCTTAAATGGTGATGTAAAAAAAGTTCTTTATTCTTCAACTTTTCTCTGAAATTATTTCAAAATAAAAAAAATGTTAGGCTAAAAATAAAAAGATAATACTGGGGCCAGCCCCATGGCATAGCGGTTAAGTGCATGCGCTCTGCTGCTGGCAGCCCGGGTTCGGATCCGGGTGTGCACCAAGGCACTGCTTGTCAGGCCATGCTGTGGCGGCGTCCCGTATAAAGTGGAGGAAGATGGGCACGGATGTTAGCCCAGGGCCAGTCTTCCAGGGCTGATCTTGATCACACACTCACACACACACAAAAGATAATACTGTCCCCCTTGTTGGAGAGTTGATTCCACGGCACAGTCTGGCTGCCTGTGCTATGGGACACCTCTCCCTAACACAATGTTGTCCCCTTGGCCACCTCACAGCAGGGCTGTCCTGTCTGTCCTCAGGGTCACATTGTCCACAACTGGAAGGCGCGATGGTTCATCCTCCGGCAGAACACGCTGCTGTACTACAAGCTGGAGGGGGGTCGGAAAGTGACCCCTCCCAAGGGTCGGATCCTTCTGGATGGCTGTACCATCACCTGCCCCTGCCTGGAGTATGAAAACCGTCCAGTAAGTGAAGGCCCCTGCTTCTCATCTCCTCCCGCCCCGGACCCTCCCACCTCTGACCTCTTTAGTGAAGATGGGACGCAATGGGAGGAGCTGAATTATCAGCAAAAAACCTGGATTCAAATCCTGGCTGTACCATGTACCAGGTATGGGTCCTTGGGCAAGTAATTGAACCTCTCTGAGCCTTAGTTCCTCATCTATAAAATGGGATAAAATAATGACACCTGATTATCTCCTGTGGTTGTGATGAGGATCGTGAAGGTAATGGTCTGTCAAAACACTTTGTAGGCTAGGAGGTACTACACAAATGTGAGTAATTACTGCTGTTTTGGGGTTCAATATGGTGGTTTTCATCCCCTGAGGGGTGCATGTTCCAAAAGTCAGGGACAGCTTCAACCCTACCATCAAAAATGTATCTGAATCAATCATTTGTTGAGGGCCCATTATATGCCAAGAAATTTGCTAGGCTTGGAGGAGTCAAGGAAGAAAATGGTAAGATCGCTTCTTGTTAAGTTAATAATTTTATTATCAAAGCAAGTGGTTAATTGAAAAACATTCGGAGTTCCAAATGATGGTACAAACATCATTAGCTAGAGAACATTGTATGCCTGAAGAGGAGGAAGACATCCTTATAGGCTATCTGGGTCAGGTGCAAGCTTTGAGAGGAATAGTGATTTGGGCAAAGATCTGAAAGAGGAGAGAGGCAGATGTTCTGGGCAGGGGGAAGGTCTTGAGTAAAAGTAAGATGAGAGATTGGGATAGATTTGGAGATGAGGACAGCCAGTATGGCCAAAGGGGAATGTTCACTGAGAGAGCAGTGGGAGATTGGCTAGGGCTAGATGGAGATAATGGGGAGCCGTTGAAGGTTTTGAGTGTGAGAATGGACTGATAAAAACCCTCTTAGGAAGACTAAAATGAGGAACTAAGCTCAGTTCCTAATAAGATTACTAAGTCCATTACGAAGAGATCTTACAATTTTCTTCTTTCTTATCATGTTTTTCTTTTTTGATTCCTCCAGACCAGTTGATGAAACTTCTAAGTATAAGAAAATATTCATGATGGTCAATTCTGGGTGGTGGGTTTACTGGTGTTTGTTATGCTAACCTCTTTGCTCTTCTGTAGTTTTAAATTTTTCTCAAATAAAAAAACAAAACGAGCTATTAAAATAATCAGGCATGAAATAAGGCAAAAAGAAGGGCTAAACATGAGAAAACATTATTGAAGGAAACATTGATAGGACATGCTTGACTGGATGTTGAGGGCAAAGGAGAGGGAGGCATTGAATGTCATTCCAGGCTAGGAGGCTGCGAAAATGAGATGTCATTCTAGAATTTCCACTAAAATCTGGAGGTGCCTCTGGTTAAAAAAAGTCAGGTGGGGGTAGCTTTCTGTTGGGGTGGGGGTGGGACTGCTGGAGAATGCTGAACCTGGTAGAAGATTGGGTCTTCATCTTCTTCCTTCTAGCATCCTAAAAATAGCAAACACAATGTCTAGGCACATAGGCACATAGTAGATGCTACGTAAATGTTTGTTGAATAAATGCTGAACAAAGAAGAAATATTTACAGATAACTGAGAGGATTTTAAGAGGAAAACCTAGATTTTTAAGTGAATTTAAGACTCTAGCTCTCAATAAATTAAACCCTAGAGTTTGTAGGTTAACTTGTTGACCTGATGCCCTTTAATAATCTTTAAGGATCAGTGGAGAGCAGAAGAGCTGGTAGAATGGGCTGGAGACAGGAAAACTTTGTTCAAAGTTTCAAAAAAGGAAACAAGTTAAATTTGCTAACTGGAGTTGTGAGCTTCATGTTAATTCTACATAAATTCTCAAACATATTGTCATCTGGCTGGTTCATGAGTACTTGAGCTGGAACAGGTCAAGAGGGGCCAGCAGGTTCACTAAGTTATAAAGTATATTATATATGTGTGTGTCTATATATTTTATTAAGGAAGCTATAAAAGAGCATGTCTGGATTTCAGGTGGAATTTTATAGCCTCTCCTGAAATTCTTTCATTAAAATGGTGAACTGCAGACTGATGGTACAGGTATAGGAACTGGTTGAACTCGCCCTCCCACTGTGCAGATGAGTGAATCGGTGTTAACTTGGAGGAACAGCTTCAGGGTATTCGTTGGGACTGTGAGCCAGGCTTGTCTTATCCACCATTTTTGCTGTTCGTTTAGTTGAGGGATGCTGATTAGGTTTGCAAGCAAAGCAAGTTGGGAGCTAACACATCAGAAAACAGAATCAGAGTGAAATAGAATTCTTCTGTTTTCCAACAGAAGTGCCAGACCCAGTCTACTCAGATGACATTTAATAGGGTCAGCATGCAAAATCCTGCAATGGTCAAAAAAACCCTAAATGTACATTTAAAAGATGGAGGAGATGTGGCCTACATGAAAAAGACTCCCAGCTGACTTCGTGGAGTATGAGTCCACGGTGCCCTGTCGCTGCCCCCAGCTAATGTGGCCTCAGGGTTGTGTTGGCCCACACTGCCCTGCACCCCTCAGACCTTTCCTGGAGCAGCGTGTTCCATTCCATGGGTCATATTTTATGAGAGTATTGACCAACTGCAGAACATTTAGCAGAGTGTGACCCAGTTGAGGACTGTGTGAAAGACTTGGGGATGCTTAGACCCAAGAAAAGAGGGTCAAAAAGGGTATGAATAACAGTTCCTTCTTGGTAGGTGTTAATATCCTCATACCTGAAGCTCAGTGGGTTTCTTAATATACCCAAGCATCCATAGCTAAGTGGCAGAGTTGGGATTTGCATCCAGATTAGTCTGACTTGAAAGCCCGTGCGTTTCCCGCTTCAGCACAGGGGCTGTCATAGGAAGTGAGATTGATTAATCTATGTAGTTCTAGAAGGCAGAATCAGAAGCAGGGAGGCAAAGTACCCGGGAAGCAGTCCCAATGCTAAGTAGTCTGTCCAAAAGGGAAAGGCTACCTTTTGAGGCCGTGAGCTCCCTTCACCGGAGGTGTACCATTGAATCTTTCAAGACCACCTGCTGGGCTGTGGTGGAGGGGTCTGGCGTTCGGCAGTCACTGGACCACATGGTTTCCTGGGTTCGCTGCGGCCCCATCATTTTTGCTGCCCAGCCAGCGTCCTCTTGCCTGCTCGGCCTCTGAGTGCTGGTCTGACTGGCTGTCTCTTCCCACAGCTCCTCATTAAGCTGAAGACTCGAACATCCACAGAGTACTTCCTGGAGGCCTGTTCTCGAGAGGAGAGGGATGCCTGGGCCTTTGAGATAACAGGGGCTATTCACGCTGGGCAGCCAGGGAAGGTCCAGCAACTCCACATATTGAAAAACTCCTTCAAGCTGCCCCCTCACATCAGCCTGCAGTGAGTGCCTGGCCTCCCACCCCTCACCCTCTCTGGCTTTGCTGCAGCCTCTTCTGTCTGTGCACAGTGGGGAGAGGGGGCTCTGTTGTTGCTACACAGGCTTGACTGGTACCGCCATTGTGCTTCAGGGCCTTCCGCCGTCACTGTCCTCTTTATATCATTTTCTCTGCCTGAGAATGGCCCCACCTACCTGCCCTACTCCTCTGTAACCTCTTGGGGCCTCAGCTACTTTTGCCCACCTCAGTGTCTTGCAGCCCTTCCTCCAGTTTCTGCCAGGGTATCCAGGGCTGTGTCACAGCTTCCCAGGAATCTCCACTTACCAAGTCTTTGGTCTTGCTTGCAGCCTGATGGCAAGAATGATATGTTCTGGTAGCAGTTGCGTTCTTGCTCTGTGGGGTTCCTCCTTCATTCAAGAAACAGTTACTGAGTGCCTACTGCCTGCCATACACTGCACCAGATACTCAGGAGGTGCAAAGGGGAATTAACATTGTCTCATCTCAGGGGCTTTCCAGACCAAGTACATAAATAGGAAATGAGAAAAGATCTTGCATTGGTGGCAGGAATCGTCCCACACAGAACAGAAGGAAAGCAGGTCAGTGATGGAGGTGATACTGTAGAGTAGGGATGTAGGGTAGGAGTTCCCGTGGAAACTGTTACAACAGCCCATCTAGGATGCACCCCCTAACCTCCCAGGCAGCAGAACTGGTATACCTGTCAAAGATGCAGTATGAGTCCATTCCTGGGCTCACAAAAAACTCCAAACCAGGCCCTGAAATCTTGACTGTGCATCTAGGGCACTGCTAAACCACGGTGAGGACAGGGAGGTGCAGCAGCAGATAAGAGTGGGTTCAAGTGATGGGTGACTTTGAGAAGTAGCTGGAGGAGTTTGGACTTAATGCAGTAGATCATAGAGAATCATTATTGTACATTCTTTTGTTTGTAAATTAAAAGTCACAGCTTTTTAGTTTTATTACAAAAGTAATGCCTGTCTAGTATAGAAATATTAGAACATTTATGAGCAAGAAGAAAAGAAACGTCCTAAACCCCTACCTCTCAAATTCTGATGCATAGCAGAATACCCCTCTCTTTGTGACGTGTATCCTACCATTTGCCACTTGCTTTGTACCCTTAGCAGCGACTCTTGGACCCACCCTCATACTTGTCAGTGTGATGAGGGTCCCCTCTCCTTTGCCTTCCTTCTGTGTAGTCGTATCGTAGACAAGATGCGCGACAGCAGCCGCGGAATCCGGTCAAGCCCCAACATGGAGCAGGGAAGCACCTACAAAAAGAGCTTCATAGGTGAGCCTCCGCCCTCGGGGGCCAGGCCAGGCAGTGGAAACCTGGGGCATGGTGATCCGGGACTCAGCTGTGCTTGACCAGCCCGTGTCGAGGCTAGGGCTGCCTGCTGGCCAACGGGCTGGCCTGAGATGGCTACATGTACGTGCAGCCACGGCCCTGTGTAGCAGATATGCCCTTCAGTCTGCTCGTGGGTAGAGCCTTAAGGCTTCCCAGGAGGTCAAGGTCAATGAGGTCACAGCTGGAGGAGGGTGGTGTGTAGCCTGTTGTCTGACTGGTGCTGCCCTTGCCCTGATGCAGGCTCCTCCCTGGTGGACTGGCTCATCTCCAACAGCTTTGCTGCCAACCGTCTGGAGGCCGTGACCCTGGCCTCCATGCTCATGGAGGAGAACTTCCTTAGGCCGGTAGGCACCCGAAGCGTGGGAGCCATTCGCTCTGGGGATCTGGCCGAGCAGTTCCTGGATGACTCCACGGCCCTGTACACTTTTGTAAGTTGGGGAGTGGGTTCCTCTTGCCACCGGGGCAGAGGGAAGGAAGAGGCAACAGAGTGGGAGCCAGAGGGCCACAGTCATGGGTGAGAGGCCTAGGGTTGGGGGAGTGGGGTTTCTCTATTGAGGAATTTTCTTTCCCCTGTGGTAGCCCCGTAGCTTGGAACTGGGACTTTTCTGTAACAGAGACCTTGCTCTCTCCTTCCCACTAGGCTGAGAGCTACAAGAAGGAGATAAGCCCCAAGGAAGAAATCAGTCTCAGCACCATGGAGCTTAGTGGCACAGTGGTAAAACAAGGCTATCTGGCCAAGCAGGTATGGCTGCCCAGCAGCAGGAAGGAGACGGACAGTTCTCAGGCCTGGGGGAGGCAGGAATGCCCCCAAAGTGGAGGAAGGCTGAGACTGCTAGAGGGCACTGATTATCAGCAGAATCTGCTAAAGCGGGAGGCCAGCGGCAGCTGCAGGGAGCAAGTCAGGGTGCACGCACATGCCCACTTGTGCACACACGAGTCCCAGACACACGGGTGTTCAGGGAAAAGGTGCACACTAGTAATTATCACCACATTAAAAACAACACCTACGTCACTGCCCAGTTCACATATTTGTCTGGAGGGGTATTGCCAACTGGGTTGGTGTTTGGCATTTGCTGGCCTTCTGCTCCCTGAGGTTTCCCGGGGTCTCTGCCTTCTTTTGTGGGACACAGCATGCTCTCTTGATACACTTTCCGAACAAAAAATAAATATTTTCTCCACCTACTTCAGTAGGTTGAAGATGAATTTCCGCAGTGTAGTTTCAGTGTTTAAAAACTGACTGTGGCCACCACTCCTAACTGTGTTTGGGAGGCAGCCACGTCACAGTCACACCTGCAGCATTTCTACCTGTGCCTAATAGAAAGGCTGTTCTGTGAACAAGATCACTGAGTCCCAGAACATGAAGACTGAAGCGGACCTTCTGTACACCCCTTGTGTTTGTGCGCGTCTCACACCCTCTGTGAATGTGCGTCTGTACAATGGACACTGCTCAGCACCATTCCTGTTGTTACTGGGAGCATGTGCTGTCATTGTCACCTGCCTTTTGCATATCAAGATCCCCATCTGCTGTTAGGTTATTCACCATCCACACAAATGTCTGCCTATCCCAAGGGTCCTGCTTCTGCTGGGCCTGCCTGGTGTCTGGTGAGGGGTGGTGGTGAGGCCCTGGAAGAGCTGGAGGGGATGTGGGAGGGACTCTGGGCTGTTCCAGACTAGAGGGCTCAGGAAGCTTTGTGATCTAGGGGGTGGAACCAAAGAGAGTCATGTCACTATCTTACACATTTAGACGAACATATAATCGATCATTTGTTACTCTTTTTCTGATGCAGAATGTTAAAGTGGTTTTTACTGTATTTGTATGCACATGTATATGTAGATGTAGGTTTGTTTTTGGATTGACACTTAAAAAGTTGGTGCCCTTGGGTTCAAGTTTGCCTGTGAGCCCTCAGTCCAGTTGACACCTGCTGCCTCCCTGTCCTCCTTGTGCCCTGAGTGGTGTCCAGGTAATGCTCCCCCTTTCCTTCAGCGCTGACCCTCGTTGGCTCTGTCAACTCAACTAAATATGACAGTGTTTTTGCTAAAGTGTCACTGAGCACTGGGAAGTCCGTGACACATCACTACAGTCCTTGGTCTCTGGCAGTGTCTTTTTCAGACATAGTCCCATTGGAGCAGGCTGGCTTGGAGTTTTGGCATTAGATGCGTGGAAGTGGGAGGAATTTCTCAGAGCTGTTACCAATGAGCCTTGAACCTTTCTTTGCCTCAGGGGCACAAGAGGAAAAACTGGAAGGTGCGGCGCTTTGTTCTGAGGAAGGACCCGGCTTTCCTGCATTACTACGACCCTTCCAAAGTGAGTGCCCCGTGCTCACTTGGTACCATGTGCCATGCTTGCAGACACTTCTCTCCGAGCATAGCAGGCAGCTGGCTCTACTTCCTTCCCTTCTCTCAGCATCCCTACTGTGACTTCCGCTGCACTATGTCTTTCCTTCCTCAATCCAAGCTACCGCTAGCAGTCTGATCACTCTTTTCTTTCATCGCATCTCAGTGGTTTTTTTGTTGCCCCGCCCCCCACTTCCTATGGGAGAGGATCTGCATTATTTTCAGAGGAAAAGCATCTTTTAGTTTCTCCAAAGCTTACTGTGTGGCTAGGGAGGGTGAGGTGGGCTGATAAAGGGACTCCTAACTGGTGATTCCCAGCCTCTTCTTCCCTTTCTGTCCAAAGAGCCCATGAAGTCTGCCCCCTCAATCTCTTGTCCTCACTGATGTTTTGAAGTTTCTCTCTTTTTTTTTTTT